CATCTCCCTGCTAAGTGTAAAGTCCTGAGTTTAATCCCCAGTACCAAAAAAAAAAAAAAAAAATTACTGCCACTCTGAAATGCCATATATATAATATGCTGAGCTATAAGAATATGTCATCACATTTATTTCCAGTACTGAGGATTGAACCCAGGGCCTCATATATGCCAGACAAGGACTCTAGCACTGAACTATATCACCAGCTCTTTTTATTTTATGTTGATAGAGGTCTCAGCCTGGGCAAATCAGTAAGCAGCTATATCAAAATAACATTTTTAAAGGCCCAGGGACATAGGTCAATAGTAGAGTGCTACCAGGCCAGGGAGATAGCTCAGTAGAATAAGTGCCTGCCTGGCAAGCACAAGGTCCCGAGTTCAATTCCCAGTACTGCAAAAAAAAAAAAAAAAAAAAGAGCAAATAGTAGAGTACTATCTAGTATGCACGGGTCCTGGGTTTGATCCCTAGTATTCAAAAAATGAATGAATTAATTAATTAATAAAAATAAATAAAACACAACACCAAGGAGTAGCCAGCCACAAACCACCAGAAGCTAAGAATGAGCCTGGGCCATGGTTTCCCTCACAGCCTCAGAAGGACATTTGATCTCAAATATCTGGCTTCTAGAACTGAGATAATAGCTGCTGGGTTTTTGTTGTTGTTGTTTTGTTTTGAGTTGGGGGGGCAGGGTCTCACTACCTAGCTCGAACTCACAGTGATCCTCCTGTTTTCAGCCTCCCCAGTGCTGGGGTCACAGGAATGCGTCACCACACCTGGACTCGAGGCTCAACGTACTCAGAGGTGGGGCTGGCACAGCATGTGGTACCAGGGATCGAACCTGGTCCCTGTGCTTGCCTAAGCAGGCGCTTAGTCTGCTGAACTATCTCGCCAGCCCTACTATCTGCTGTTGAAGCCACTTGACTATGACATTTTATTACAACAGCTCTAGAAAACTAATACAACTTGGACTGAATCTTAGACTAGGAGAAAAAATTGTGGTGAGGGGTAAAGGAGATTACTGGACAGTTATAAAAACCATGATAAGAGGCTAAGGCAGGAGGATCACCATGAGTTCCAAGACAGCCTGAACTATATAGTGAGACCCTGTCTCAAAACAAATAAACAAGCAAACAAACAATAAAAAAAAAAAAAATAGCATCAGCTAAGCCAGAGTGATTTATTACAAATGAGTACAGGGTAGGGCGGGGGAGACAGCTCAGTAGACTAAGTGCTTGCCTGGCAAGGACAAGGACCTGAGTTCAATCCCCAGCTCCGCCAATAACAGTAATAACAATAATGATAAACAAATGAGTGCAGGGTGAGTCCCTGCTTCCCTCAGCGACAAAGGGGGCCAAGCTGCAGTGGTGCACTGGGCTTCTCAGACTTCAGCTCCTT